ATGAACTTTGAGCATCTGATTCACATATTGGGCAATCTGTTGATCCTTGGGGACGCGCAAAAACAGGTAATTGTCGTTGCGCAGTCAGCATCATGCTAGCCAATGCATGCAACACGCAATGCTGATAACGTTCACGATGCCCAAATAATGCTTTAAGGCTTTCGCAGCCGGTTTTGTTGCCTTTGGTGGCAGCAGTTTCACCATCACCGCGCCACTTAGCGGATCAAATTTCAGCCTCACCGATCTCAGCTGTGCCACCTCATTGATTTGGCCAAGTAGATGCCAAAGAACAATTAGCAGAGCTCGGTTTTCCATTCCGATCCAGGAACTGGAATCCAGCATTTGCTCACAGAGCAGACGCAACATCTTGTCAGTGATATCGTCCGCTGTGTTTTGTAACGTAATACCTTCTTTCTGGGCATATGCCACGTATTTTGTAGTCGTGTTTTGACGCACTTTCACCTGGTACCAATGCAGGTCATTAAATATGTCGGTCTTGCATATTCTGACAAAAATACCCTTTAAACAGCTGAGGTAGTTCATTGCCGTTTGCAGCAAAGGAGAACCAGATTTCTTGAATTTCAGCAGCTTATGTGTTGCAAACGTCCCGAATATTATCTTCAGCGTCTTGTCGTCTTGGTCAGACAAATCGCTCAGATCAGTAATCGCTTTGAAGCCATCGGATTCAGAACAAAAGATCAGGAACATTGTGACCACGGCTCTATCTTGAGCTAATGTAGACTTGCCTCGACCTATATCAGCGATGTCGGTGTTCGCGTTGATCTCTTCTGTGACCGGAGGCAGGGGTGTCAGTGGAATTGGCATATTTCGTGTTTCAAATGAATCGGGTTATATAAGTCATTTTATTATTAGAATAATGTTACGTACAATAGATATAGCTTAGAGGTGTATATTTGAATGTATTTGGCTCTGATTTAGGAAAGCTGGAGAATTGGGCATTACGCTTCTGTAAGCTAGCTAAAGCGGACTGTTGGAGTCGAAGCTTCCTCTGTGTAAAATGCACGGTAGCTGCGTTGCATTTGAAAGTACCAGCAGCCTATCTTACGGTCCAGTCGTAAGAGAAATGTTTTTTAGAGGGTAGAACAGGACATTCCTACCCGTCTCCAGGATATCTAGACCAGCTGACTACGCTTTTTTCTATGATAAATACCGACGAGATCGCGGAAGTTGCGACCAAAGAGACCGATGCGGTAATTGCTAACCCGAAGGATCTCGCGGTGAGATACCTCCACGAGCACCCTAAATTTGCACTGTTCGAAAAAGAATCGACGCGCACCGCGGATCCACGGTAATTATGCGAGTAGCCCTTTGAGAGCCGGGACGGCTAGCATGTCGCGCTGTGAACGGCGGAGATGGAATGGTCGTGAAATCTGCCAGGCTAGTAGGTAGCGCGTGGAAACGGGCACTATTGCGCCATTCCTTCTTGACGTATATGTGCCAGACACAGCAAGATTTATAGAATATGTCATGAGTGCTCGTAGCGCCTCATCGGGTGCGTCGGGTCCCTGCTCGTCCTTCAGTGGAGACGGGGGTGGTCGGATATTCCCAAAAGCCACGAGCGTTTATCATCGTAATGACCTTAGACCTTCTTTGAGAAGCTGTCAATATTACCATCCACGGGTTTGTCTTGCACCAAGCCTTTTCTTATTCAGCCCACCACTTTCAAGAAAGAGATTGGTGTTGCATCAAATACAGCTCCCGCGTCGCGTGCTGGGTGGGGGTACTAAAGTGGAAGCTTTATGATGCGCTTAGGGTGATAGGCATCAGCCAAGATTAGGTGGAATAGAGAGATCTTATATGCTGCTGCACCGCGGTATTCGCAATTTCTTTATTGGTGGAGATACAAAACATCTGCGCCTTTCGTTCCCCCTTGCTTTCGGATAAAAAGTGCAAAGATCCGGTTCTTATGCAAGTATGGCCGACGAACCCCTTACGGGGAACGTTCCACTAGGCGCAGGATGACTAAGTTGGAACAAACTGGGTTTTGTTGTACGTCATTGGGGTCAGAGTCAATGAGACTTACCTCAAATAGGAGTCACTATTTTTGAGAGGGGTAACGATCACAGCCCAAGGATGATGGTTGTTGATGTCTAAGTCCCGGGCTTTGTGAAAACTACTGATAGAGTCATGAGCATTGTGCAATTACATTCCCTGCTTGACCGTCTAAACAATGACGATCGGGGAGGCATCCCAGATACGGCAATTCGCACGAAATCGAAAGAGATGAACCCGCAACTTCTGAAGGCGGTGCTGCTACTAATTCCGCAACGGGATTTGAGTCCCCCGGACACATCCACACAACCAAATCAAGAAGAAGCAGTATCTACAGCAGTTTCGGTTTCGTTCCCAGCCGATTTGACTAGTCCCCGCGACGTGCCCGTCGAACAGACCTATTTTTGGAACATCAGAGACAATTTGGCGCTATGCGGCGATTCCAGAAAGAAGAACCCAAGTCTGCAAATGATGAAGCAAAACTTTGACTTTATCACAAAAGTGCTGCCCGATGCAGGCGAGTTCCCACCGCGCCCGGAACCGGGCACGGCGGGGATTGTGGAATGGATCGATACTATATGTCAAAAAGCCACGAAGGTGCGCAGTGACGTGGTACGTCTCTTAAAGCATCCTGAACCAGAACCGGAATCAGAATCAAAAA